CCGATGATTGTGCATTAGATACTCGAATTCATTTTCGGTCTTTCAAAGCAATTTTTGCACAAAAAATTAATGACTATAATATAGTTCTTTCCAAATTTAAATATCGTTATTTAGAAAGGTGCTTTCAATTTTGTCTTACATTTCATAATTTTTAGGGAGTGCCTTTTTTAGAACCGTAACATTAATGGTTTATCATTCAAAAATTACAAATATATCCTTATTAATCATCTACACGTTGCAACCATTCCAATTAGCCATGATCTTGTGCACATATCCACACTATAATAAGGTATACACCACATCTTTCATCCATTAATTAATCATGACGAGCGATAGAGATTTGTTCTCATTTCTCACGATAAGAGTTGTTCTCATTAGAACCACTCCCTAAATATGTGTGTGTGTGTGTGTGTGTGTGTGTGTGTGTATCTATATATATATATATGTATATGTGTGTGTATATATATATATATGGTCAATTATATCAGAAAATAGACTAACCGAGTAAGTTATGGTATCTATTGAAGAAAAAGTGATAGGTTGTTTTGGTTTTAATTATGTTCTTACCAAATTCTCACATCAAAATGTAAAAAAATAAAATTGTAAACAATATAGGTTTGCTGAGATTTGTGTATGTTAACAATTACAAAATTACTCATTTAACATTCACAATATAAAATGCACTTCAATTGTGCTTGGATTATCAAATTGTGCATTTTTACTCAACCTATCTCGTATATCTTTTTTTGTTACTTGAGTGATATAAAAAGAGGATTTCCATAAAAAAACTTAAATAAAACTTGTTTACAAAAATAACTACAAATTATATTGTAGTGTAGTGTTATTGTCATTAAAAGCAAAAGTTGAACATACGTTACAAAGAATGATAATAGTACTCGACACTATAATAACTACACTTTTTATTTATATTGTAGTATATTGATCACATTTCATAAACAATCTTTAATTAAATCATAAATTTGTAATTATTTCATATAGAAATCACATGAATATAATACATAGTATGTAAATACTCCATATTAAATACGGAGTACTTAGTATGTTTTTGTCTAGGGCCCCAATAATTCTAAAGACGGCCCGGTCTACAGAACAAACATTTAACGAAGTTGTCTTCAACAATCTAATCTAATGTGAAGACTATTGACAATATATATAAGATACACTTAGAAGAACGGATGAATTACGAACTTCACTCTAACAATTCAAATTCTCGAAAGCAAACTTTTACGTACTCTACACAAGAGTCCATAGAGAGATTTGGAAGATTACATTGTAAAATTGTGTACACCTTCCTCGTTCGGGGCCAAGTGCCCATCTTTAGTCATCGTAGGCTGTCTGTGGTCTACCTCTACACCGCTCACTCGATCATCCAAAGTAGTTAGTCGCCCATCCAAAGAAAAGTAGTTCAGGTACAAAAAAGTGTGCAAACCTTCAAGTATATCTGATTGCCCTTCTTGAAGATGATTCTGGAAGGGGTTGTGGTGGCATGCGCTGAATGAGGTGGGTTGTTCATGTATATGCTCATCAGGGATGCGCTCATCGGGCTCATCGAGGGGGCAGTGAGGGGGGAATCATCCCTGGAGACAGTGGTGCTTACCATCACCCAAATGGTCACCAAATAGGTCGTGAGCCAGGTCAACAAATGGGAGAACGTAGGGCCTAAGGAGAGGTGGGTGAATGGGCCATTTATAGAAGTTCTTCCCTGTGGCACTTTTGTGAGAGAATTTTAAGTCTGGTACTATTGAGAAATTGGATGTTGAAGGGAAAGTCATTGGGGATGGGGTCACTATCTACATACTCATATTTTATGGTTATACGAGTGATAAGCGCACCAATATAAATCCTACCGCGTTCATTTGATACTTTGATTATGAGGGACCAAATGGCCTGTTCAAACTCACATATGGGGCGTTAGCAAAAATAACTCTAGTTAGAAGTAACAAATCAATAAACCGACCTTAATGATTGTTTGATTGGCTGAGAGCACATTTGCACATAAATTTCATAAAAATGTGTTACACTAAATGTTGAGCGTGATTAATGTTCAACTTTGATGCAACCGCATTTACCTCTTTCGTTATCCTTTTCCGGAGCTCCTCCCCATATGTCAAATCCAGTTCTTCGTTAGAACCCATGGTGGGCAAGATCATGGACGATGCCTCTTAATCAATCAAATAATTTCTCTGCAAGTCAAACACTAGTATTCTCTAATCTACTTGTTTTATATTCCTCTAGTTATTAATTATTACCTCATTTTGTGGATATGAAGAGCATGAAAGAACGAGTGGCCTTCTAGCTCAAAAGCCAGTGAAATACATAGATGGTACATTAACTATTGAAATTGATGCATTTTGGTATCTTAACTCCTAAATGAAGAAAATTGGTGTCACCATTACTTCTAAATGTTTATCTTGCAGTACAACCATACAACTCAAATTTACAACCAAAATAACTACATGTGTAGGTCGAAATTGTCAAAATTCTCACACTATTTGAATAAGTTAGTTTAGTTAGAGGTTTGAATTTAATTTTATAATTCTTCGACAAACTAATTATAAAAAAATTGCTATAACACAACACATTAAGTGCATGTTTGGTAGTAGGTCGTGTGTGGGCATATATGTTCAGTTTAACTGAACTGTATCAAACCCAAATAAATCGATCTGAAACCAAATCATATGTACAAAATCAAACTGAACAAAAAACACCAATAAAACTTTGCATATTTATAAAAAATCCCAAATCCATATATATGAACCGAACTAAATCGAACCAAACCAAGTCTATACATAGTATCAAGTTTATTTGACCCATTTTGAATTGAATCGAACTCTGATAAAAATCGAACTGAAATCGATATGTCAACTTCTATTTAGTAGGCACAAGTAGCTACATTCCATCTTTTGTATTATTCAAAAAGTATGTCAAAGTTTCAGTTGTAAGTTTGGTATAACACATTGCAGAAGTTTTTTTAGAAACTTAGGGCTCGTTTGTTATGATGTAAAGTAAACACTTTGTGTGTAAAGTGTGGGGATGTAAACATTTTACACCATTTGTTTTAACTATTTAATGTAAACTGTAGGACACTTTTTAAAACACATTTTACACTGTACCATGTGAAATATGTTACATGGACAGAGGCAAGTAAAGTAGTTTACATCTCTCGAGTCGATACAGCAGAATAAATACAGAGTATATCTGATTACAATTTCAGCCTAGCCGCCTTTGAAGATCGGAGTGCACTGCAAAAACCCTTGGCGGCAACGTTAGAGGCGTGCTTGATTAGAGGTGTGATTGTGATTACACACACCATGGTTTGTTGTTGCCTTCTACAGTTAGATGTGTGATTGATTTTTAATTTTCTGTAAAGTGCATAGTTTTAATTGGTGATTTTTTATTTCTGAAACTTTCGATTTGTGTTGTTATTATCATGTATTTGTTAGATTTTTTAATATATACGAAGTATACATCAAATTATCATGGAAAAGAACAGAGAGAAGAGGCGATAGAATGTTTCTGAAACTTTCGATTTTTGAAACTTTTGATTTTTTAATATATAAATTATGCATACCATAATATATTATTGGAAAAGATCACCCACGTTTATCACTTTGAACGGCATAGCAGCTTTGTTAAATGAATTTTGTAGTCTTTTTGTAAATATTTTATATGTAATATAATACTCTGTATTATTGTCCAAACAACATTGTAAAGAGTTTGCGTGTACTTTTAATTTACATGTAAACTAATTACAGACCTACACTTTATATGCAATCATTTTGCATATAAAATTTTAATGTGTGAACTACCAAACAGGCCCTTAAGATTTTCTCAAAAGCTAGACCATCACAACGTGTAGCTTATATCGAACATAATGAACTAAAGTGGTTTTTAAAGTGCTCATAAGAATATCTTTTAAGCGAGTTCTATCTACAATACCCAAACGTATGCATTGGCTTATGACAAGGTATTAATCATTCTTGTACGAAGTATCTTGGTGATTTAAGAGGTGTTTGGAACTGATTCTGATTCTATTTTTTTAAAGCAAAAACAAAATCAGAATCTGTTTGCACTAGGTAATCTCCCTGAGCTACTAAATTAATTGCTTACAAAAGTAATTTGGAGCACCTAAAACTCTATAAGTATTTATGCACTTTCATCCAAATTCTCAAATATCTGCTTCTACTCCTTCACAATTTTAAGAAGCATATACAAACACCCTCTAAAATCATACTCCGTAATTGATTATTAAAATTAACAGAAATCTGCCCTCCCAAAATAAAATTGTGATCAATAAAAAGGAGCCTTAGATAAATGGATTTTTGTCATCGATATTTGGGTAAATAAATCACAGGTTGAGAAATGTAAAAAAAAACTATATACACTTGGATGGCATTCGCAATGCTGGCAAACAAAAAAAAAATTATGGAGAAGAAAAACTGATTTTTTTTTCTTTTTGGGTAATAGAACAAACATATTTGCAGTTAATGGATTTGAAATTGAACAGACTGCCGCACAGAGCAAGCCACCACCTGCGCCCACTGTTTCAATCTACTCTTCACCGTCGCCGGATCTTCACCTTCACCATTCCAAAATCCAAACACACATTCACCTAAAATCAATTACGGCCGACACTATATTCGCATCAAAAGAAGAGTAAGAAACAATCCATTTTGGTAATTACCTAAATCAATGGCCGGAATCGGTGCAGGACTTCCCGTATCAAAATCGGACGCCATAGTCGACATCGACGAAGATCTGGACAAGCACTCGCTATACCTCCTGTTGACGGCGCAGAATAGATCCAGAGCAGGAAATGTCTTGGCGAGTTTCGGATCCAAATCGCTCGAATCCGGGTAGAACCCGAATCCCAGGTCTATACAACCGCGTAGTTCATCCAAGTCGTCGTCCGTGACGCTCTTGTGACGTTCCCGCCGCCGATATCTTCCCTTCCGTCTGGCCCAAGCTTCCTCCCGGTACAAATCGGTAGACCACGATTTGTGCTTGAATAGAGGCGGCGTATCTCGGCGTTCCGGCATGGTTGCGCCGCCGTATGGGTTTGTAGTGGTGGAGGTGAAGTAAATGAAACCGGAGCGTATATATAGTTGGGCTGAGCTGGACCGCCGTTGGTCTGAGTAGCAAGAGAGTGACTGGAATATTCGAAGGACGTGGATTTCATGTCGAATGAAATTGTGTGCTCGTGGGCCCCATGCTCCAGATCTTCGGATACTTTGCCGTGATCAACGGGGTAACGTATATCGGTATATGTTACGGAGTATGAGTATTTTTTTCAACTTCAATTCTTTGTTTTGGTACGTAGAATTTGAAAAAAAAAAAAATCGCATCTAATACTAACCTCGTGTCTTTATTGTGACTGATTCTCTTCTTTAAATATGTGTAAAATATACGTATGAATGGTTAATGAATACTCCCTTTTTTATAAGTACAAGACCGAATGAAGTGAACAAAACTATTATGGGTTTCTTTATGAACTTAATTGGGGAATTTTATGAAATTAAGGAGTGTTTAGATCTGATTCTCAAAACCGATTCTGTTCTTTCTGGGAACATAAGCAAAAATTGGAGTGTTTGGGTGAAATTCCAGAAGTACTTCTGGTGCTCTAATTTAATCCCAGAATCAATTTTTTTAGAATCTGGGATGTATTCACTACAACATTTTGGAGGTAAGGCAACACCAATTTTTTTTATTGCCGTAAAAGTGTTGCCTTATATTTATATAGACTACATTTTTTTATAGTGTAGCTGAAGTTGAAAAGAATAACATATTCTTATAGGCATCACTCAAAGACCGTTCTAAAAGTCAAGTTAGCAACGGTTTTTATTTTTAGTTGTTTGCCCACACTTAACAACTGTGGTTAAATACGGGTAGTAATTTTTTTAATAAATCAGTTCCGGTATCCTTAAATTTTTTGGGCCCATAAGTTGTTTAGCCCGCTTTGTTTTATTATCACCCAGTTCACCCTAACCACTTCGAGCAGGACAAACCGACGAACAAGGGGCGCACAATCACACTGCTAGGTCTGCATCAGATCCCTCAAACGATGATTGATACGAGTAAGTCTCAAACGGAAACAAACCGCTACTCATCAGATTGTATTGTTGCCAGTTATGTTTATATCCGTTGAATATGTAATCGAAGACGGCACTTCAGTCTGCGTCTCCCCGACTCCCAGCAGATCGTTGTCGACATCACCATAGCTATCCTAACTCGGGAGTTTGATCTTCAAGGTAATTTGTTTTAGAAACTCGAGTATGCTGGTTTCTATTTTGGATTTTTTTCTTCACATACTCCGTGGGCTTATGCTCTGTGACTCGTATGTTGTTTTTCATTTGAAACACGCAATCCCTGCTTCAATCGCTTATGTTTGATGTGTTTAGAGCTCGTTTGGTAACGTTTTATTGACTGAATCAATTGAATTATATTTAGAGAAAACATAACTTTCCTAATTTAAGAAAAAAATGAAAAATTTCCCTTCTTTTATTAAGTCAAGAGGTTTGTTGTACATGGAGGAATAACGACATAGACGATTGTTGCTTTATCATAATATATTCATATAGACAAGTCTGGCTGAAGCCATCTGTAATGAGGAATCGGGGAATCGTAATGTCTATCAAAGTTTAATTTTGTCTATTTCATAATTAAATCCATAATTTATGGAGTGTAAATCTTTTAGATGAATTTGCATATTACACCAATTGTTATTATAGGGACTTTTGAAATAGTCATCTATCCAAATCCAAACGAAGTTATGTTCCCCTTAGGAAATGTAGCAGGGCCTTTACAACAACTTCCAACAAACTACATACGAAAGAAATGTAGGTGACCGAAATTCAACGGCCAATGGTTTCAAGTTTAGTTCTAGGGGTTAAGCAAATCCTATTTGGCTAACTTAGTATTATAAATGTATTATTATGTGTTTACCTAATGCACGGGAGGTTATCGTTGTTGCCTTCTTATGACATTTGAGCTTGCAGGCTTATTAAGATTTTAGAATAACCAGATTATTTTTGAAGGCTTCATCTATTATGATATTATCTAAAGGCGTTTGCTCTGTGAACAAGAATCGCGTCATTAATAAATGAAGGTATGCAAGTCATATTTACTCTCTCCGTCTTCTCTTTTTTCATATGTTCATAATCATCTCCACTATCTATATAAGGGAATGCTTTTGTGATTGATATTGTTTCTCTTCTTTTTAAATAATAAAGTTCAAACAATATTGATTTTATAAAACACCCAATTCACAGTCAAATGTAGCTATAAACTGAGGATGAGTAGCCCTTATCATATACTACTGGATTTAGCTATAAACGGAGTATCTAGCTAGGGTAATAGGAAATTCTCTGTTAAGTGGATTTAGTCTATGTAATAGGAAATACTGATAGGATACTAGCTAGGGTAGCCCTTATCATATATCTATTCATCACATTTTTTATCCTCTCCTTATAAGGGTCTTTAGTCCACTGACCAATGGTTTCAAAGTTTTTTATTTATTAAAGTTACTAAATATTTGACATTATTTTGCATTTTTGTTTAATGTTTACCACATTAGAAGAGTCAAATAATTATTCGCAATAGTTTTCTTAGTCACATTTTATTATTACTATTGTACTCATATAAAATATTTGATATCATTTAATATTTGTTCAATTTTAAAGATGGAACGTGGTAGACATTCTGTAGATGTGGGTAATCTCCAACGCAACCGCAAGAGGGAGATTGCGTCGACTCGTCCTAATTCACGCAAAGGCAAAGGTAAAGCGCGGGCCGAGTCTTCTTTTCAAAGTCGAGATGATTTTGAAACGGATTACCAACGGAGAGATGATATGATGATGTCCGACGAGCATCTACAAAACCTATTGTCCCAAAACGATCCACGCTTTGCACAAGAACAACCCATCCCGACAACCATTGATGAAGAGGAGCTCGAGGATGACGATGCGGAGGAGGACGCGGGGGGCGACGGGACTCACGGCACCCCGGATGATGAGCAAGACTTGGAGGACGAGGGCGGTTCAACCCAAACTGGTAAGAAATCTAAATCTCCTATTATTGAAAACAATTTTACAAAAAGGAAAGACAAAAATACCAAAAAATGGTACGCAAGTTGCAATCATTGCGGCAAAGAGTATAGCTTGGGAACTTCTGGCGGATACGGGAGTCTCACAAGGCATCTTAAGTCCGCCCATCTTGTGGAGTATGCGAAAATAGACAAGGGCAAGGGGAAGCAAACACAAATATCGAGGTTTGCAAATTCTCAACCCTTTGGTAATTTCTCCTATGATGATCAAAAACATTTGACTGGTATGTCTCATTTAATTGTTGAAGAAAATTTACCCTATATTTTTTCCGAAAGTCTTGCTTTAAGAGATTATGCTCAAGGCACTTTAAATCCTCAATTTAGAAATTATAGTCGCAAAACGATTAAAAAAGAAGTTATAAGGCAATATAACTTCGAAAAAGAAAATTTACAAACATTTTTCGCAAACTTTAATGGACGTGTTAGTATTTGTAGCGATATATGGGAGGATACTTATCATCATTTATATTATTTGGGTCTTACTGCACATTATATTGATGATGATTGGAATATGCATAAACGTGTTCTTGCATTTCGTGAATTCAATGATCGTCATACTGCTGATAATATTTATATTCTCATTGAGCGTATTTTAATTGAGTATAATTTGCTTGATAAGGTGTTTGCTGTAGGTTTTGATAATGCTAGTAATAATACTGCTGCTATACCTAGATTGCGTGAATTGTGTGGTGCTTCTACATTGATGGGTAGGTTTTTTCATCAACGTTGTGCATGTCATATTCTAAATTTGTGTGTACAAGATGGATTAGCGGCATTAGGAAATGCTTTGGAGGTAGTGAAGGGGGGAATTAAATTGATTTGGGCTAACACTCCACTAAAAATGCAATGGCGACAATATTTGAAGGAAAGACGTGTCAATTATTGTGCTTTTCCTAAAGATTTGTCTATTCGTTGGAATAGTACTTATAACTTAATTCAAGTACTTATTAGATATAAAGAACATTTTCCTGCTTTTTTAAGACAAACTTGTAACTATATTACAAACCCGGCTGACATCGACACTTGTGAAAAAATTGTTAATGTTTTGGTATATTTTAATAACGCAACTCAAACTTTTAGTCATGTTTATAAACCTACCGCAAACGAGTTTTTTGTTGAAGCTGTCAATCTCGCCGGCGCATTTTTAGAATTTTCCGATGCCGCTTACGTTAGTTATTTTTGTGATTTCATGAAACAAAAATTTTTAAAATATTATTCACATGTTCCGCATATATATGGTATTGCATTTGTTCTTGATCCTCGTTATAGACTTGCCGCGTTGCCAAGTTGTATAGATTACTATTATAATTGTTTTTTTCCAACTCAAGAGTTCGATGATAATCCCATCGACCCTAAACAAGAATACAACGAGGTTAGTAATTTATTTCATCAATTGTATATTGAATTTTATGCACAATATGGTAATGCACCCCCTCCCATGCCGCGAACATCTTCTTCATCTAAAGGAAAATCACTTTTAAAATCTGCATTTGGTTCTCTTATGAAAAAAAGTAGAGCAACCCCCGCTACTGAACAAAGCTCAGTTAACGAGATTTCTATCTATCTAACATTGAATGTTGATTATGAAGTTGGAGATGATTTTGACGTTCTTAAGTGATGGAAGGACAATGAAAGAACGTTCCCGGTTTTATCAAAACTGGCTAAGCAAGTGCTAGCAATGCCGATATCAACAGTTGCCGTGGAACAAGAATTTAGTGCGGCCGGCAACGTCCTAACCGATTATAGAATGAGGTTGAGCCCGAGCTCTCTTGAGACGCTAGTTTGCTTCCATGATTGGTTGAAGGCCAAACGAAGAACTCAAGAAATGACCATCGCTCCAACCCGCCACTTTATGGAGGAAACAACCACCGAAGGCGGAGATTCCGATTGATTTTTTATTTCAAAATGTATTACATTTCTTAAATGCATCCTAATTCTCAATTGTACTTGTTTGAAATAAAAATACTTGAATTATTTTATATTATTGTGTACATCAATTCAATAATTCAATTCAATAAAATTAATTTGTAAACTTGTACTTCATATGTAGCACTTCTCATATTAATTAATTGGTTACAAACTTATAACTTACAACTTGAATTTTTTTTTGTAAAATGTAAAGGCTGTTTTTAAATTAAAATATGTAATATTAATATGTAAATTAATTAATTTGTTACAAACTTACAACTTACAACTTATACACCTATTTTGTAACATTTGTAAATTTTAAATCAAATCACTTTTCTAAGTAAAAATAGTTTTACTTAATTAAAAAATTAAAAACATTTTCCTTACACAATATGTATAATTTTCTAAATCATATCACTTTCCTTACACTTTTCTAAATCGAATAACTTTTCTAAGTAAATTATACACAATATGTAAAACATTTTCCTCAATTCTCAAATGTACTTCCTATTTCAACATCATGCACTTGAATTTTGTTTTTAATAACAATTATTATAATAATATAATATATAAATAAAAAAAAAATTAAAAGGACCGGCCCGAACCGGGCCCGGCCCGTGAACTGGGCAGGCGGCCCGGCCCGAACCGGACCCGGGGTTACCCGGGCCGGTTCCGGGCCTCCCAAACCTTGAACCGAGGCCCGGCCGGTTCACGGCCCGAACCGGGCCCGGCCCGAACCGGGTCCATCCCTACTACAGTACTACCTCCGTCCCATTTTTTGTCTATGAATCTCATTCACAAACAAAACATGTATGTGGATCTCATACCCACCTTATTTATTTACTTACTTTTTACTTACTACTACCTCCGTCCCATTTTATGTATTACACTTTGATTTGACAGAATTATTAATAAGATTGAAAAAGAAAGAATTGTAATTGAAATTTAAGTATAATAAAGTGAAATGTTGTAGATCAAAAAAGAAAGTAGGACGAGTAAAATAGGACCGAGGGAGTCAGTGCTCCAATCTCTACATGGGTGCAAGTGTCCTGCAAAATAGACATTTCAGCTGTCCCAGCGATCTTTCATCGTTCTTTTAGTTCTCAAGACTAATTTGTTTACACTAGTTGAATCATTAAAAAACTGAATAGTATTAGGAAAAAAACATCAGACTCGACTGAAATAGCTAAAACAGATTATTTGGAGTATACTTAGAGCACTCATCCAGCAGCCTGGAGCAGTTATCAAGTGCAAGGCCGAACAACATGCACGGTCATTCTTTCATTAAAGTGTCCTACAAAATGCAGTCAGCAATGGAAGGGATGGAACAAGATATGCCTACCCCCATCTTTCAAAACAACTGCCCTTGTTTGTGCATCTTCTTAACTGCAGTTTTTACTAAAGTTATAGCATATAGACTCTTAGAAGCTCCGGGGGTAATCGTAAACAAGACCCTCTGCCACACTCCTTGCTCTTGCATGCCCAAAAAACTTGCTCACAATGGCCAGCCCGAATTCTATTGCAGCAGAAAGGCCTTGGCTTGTGATCAGCTTCCCGTCAACAACTACCCGGGCACCTTCTATCACATCATCTACCTTGCTTATTACGGAAGGATGAGCAGTAGTTTTTTTTCCCTGTTTTTAAAATTGTTTAGTAAAATACTCTAAGCAGAAAGCTACATTATTAAGCAGTTATGTCCAATTGAATGATTTTTTATGTTTTGGGAACTCATCCTAAAAGGTCAACTGATAAGAGAAGTAACTCAAGACCTTACATATTGCTATGTAATATAATAGTGTACAATAAAAGGGGTTTAAGCCCTGTAATTAAATAGCAATTGGCTGGCCCATACGGAAAAGAATAAATAGGAGTTGGGGCGTAGAATAAGGAGGCAGTAATTGAGAATAGGAACTGGAACTCTGGGAGAGATAGGCACTCTAGAACTTGCCTCTATACTTCTTCTAGTACGTTTCTTCCGTTGCTTTGTAATTTCCCAAGGACATCTGAGGATTCCTCAGAATTCCTTGATTGAATATACCTACTGTTTTTACTTTTTCGATCGATACTCTATCATTGGTATCAGAGCCGACAAGCCTGCAACACTGTGGATGACCTGAACGTGAGCAAAAATGGAGAACAAAGTGGAGGCGGTGGAGAACAAGGTTCAGGATTTGCACAACGTAGTAGACATGATGTGAAACTGAATGCTGAATCAGGATTGCCGAATGTATGAGCTGCGGAATATCATGCTGCATCATGATCGCCATCTTTCAAGGGGACGATCGAAGACGACTAAACTAAGATCGCAAGATGAAAACCAAAACTCTTCACGATCCCGAGATGGACCCAGGACTCCGAGCCGACGACAACGTGACGAGAGCCAAACATCGTCGAACTGCGGAGTTAAATCTGCTACATCTCAGACAACCACTTTTCCGCGTGGCACCAGTGCAAACAGAATGTTCGTTAGAACCGAAAGGAAGATTGATCTTCTGTTATTTAACAGCGAGGATGCTTATGGGTGGACCATCAGGGTAGAAAGGTTTTTCAAGTTGAATAACATACCGGAAGAGGATATGGTCGAAGTGGTAACCATTGCCATGGAGGACCGGGCATTGAATTGGTATCAATGGTGGGAGGGACAAACAAAGGATAGGACCTGGGAACAATTCAAAGTTGCGCTAATCAGAAGGTTTCAGCCAGAGTTGGTTCAGAACCTGTTCGGGCCTATGATAAGCGTTATGCAGAAGAAGTGAAGGCTGAGCTTAAACTGTACCCGTCTCATTCTTAAAGCATTTGAACAAAAAAAAAGCCAGTGAGCAATTTCCCCGCTTTTTGCACCAAGTTTGAGAAGTTGAAATCACCTTGAGCAAGCCCTGTTTCTGCAGTAAAGTGGGCGACGAAGAGCACATCGCACCAAATATTCTTCCACCTAATTCTTGCTCCTTCAGCATCTTCTTCAGAGTCCTTGACCTTTGTAACCTTTTAACTCCAACATCCCCTCCCTGAAATGTAGGACTAATGAAACCTTTAAGTGAAAGGAATAGCTTATTAGATGACGTGAATTGTATTTATGTTTCTATACACACAAGAAAAAAAGCAATAATAAAATCTCAAAAAACTGGTCTCAAGAGAGTGATCATGTACAGTGGAGAGTAATAGTTGTCCTAGCAAATAATGGTCTGCTTGGAATCCAGAAATATGCTGGGGAATGAAAATAAGGAGGAAAACATGCGAAAATTTTAGAAGGATAAACTTTGGGGGCGACTTGGTTCAGTCTCAATAGATCAATTTTACATACTTCTTCAAACTCATTTTACTAATATATTTGTACTATACTACTCCCTCCGTCCCACTAACAATGTGACAAAAGAGAGTGACACACAAATTAATAAAAAGTGGTGTATGTGGTTGATATTGAATTGATAAAGTAAGAATAAAGTAAAAATGATTCAGAGCCACACAAACTTTACCAAATTTGGTATGGGACAATCTTAGTGGGACGGACCGAAAAGGTAATATGAGACAATCTTAGCGGGACGGAGGTAGTACTATATACATAGTTTTTTCATCACAGCACTATATTATAACGATAAAAATTGTACATACATACATACATATATATATATATATATATATATATATATATATATATATATAATTGTGTTATACTATATATGGCATATATGCTTTTTTTGTTTTTTCTAGTCTCGCTCCGAGTTTAAAGCAATCTCTATTTATAAAAAATTTCACTAGAATCACTACTCACAATCAACATTCTACTCAGAAATTCCACTTCAGCTTTTCCTTACTTTTTAGATACTAACAGTGGAGTTGAAGTTAAGTGAACATATAATGTGAATTTCTAAAAACAATAATCAAGTTTTATTCCTTGGGATTTTTCAAAGTAATCAATATTTAAAAAAACAAGTTTTTAGCATTGCTTTTCCGTTGCCATTCAAAAAACATAGCCTTTAAGGAGAAAATTTGACTTCCTATTTGGCACACCAAACACAAACTGACTCATATATTTTCTTTGTAACTAAGGGAATCTAATTCCATGGTTGAGAGGTGGGATTTCAATTCCCTGCAAAGCATATTCTTTTTTTTGTAGAAAGTGATTTCCATGAATTTGTCCAAATGAAATCCATGTGTAAAGCAGGACACACTTCATCTACATATCAAAGTAACTATATACTAAAGATCAACCACTAATAAACTTTATCGCTTAGGAAGAAAGAAATGAACAAAAAAATTGTACTTCTCTTGCACAAAACTGGTTTCTAAGGATTACCGGCAAGATAATCAAGTCATATGTTGACTCTGCAGCACAGTCAATCAACATGTCTGCCACAATCTTAATGCCGTTGGATGCCAATGTTACTGCAGATTTTTGTACCGAAGCTACCACAACATTGACCTTTGCGCGCCTTAAAATATCTACAACTGTAACAACTTCAATCTCTTCACAGCCATTTGCAATTGGTATAAGAACCTGGTATTGGTATATTGAGCAAATACTTGAGAGATGAAATATCCAACAACCATAATGCTATGATTATGAAATGTGAAAAATGGTACTGAAAGGAAAAGGAAAACGCTATGGAAATATTTTTATATTTTAAATGTTTGGTTCCATCTTTGAAAATGTGAAGGAAACTCAGATTATCTCAAAACTTTTGTAACTTTTACCTGCATTCATAATTTTAAGGGGGGATTTGACTTTGCACCCCACTTTTTGGGTGATATTGGACTTTCCACCACATTTTGAAAAAAAAAATTGATTTTGCACCCCATTCCACTTAAAATTCCTTTGACTTTGCACCCCATTTAGAAATGTTTCTTCACAAAATGGTATGTCTTGGGGTGCAAAGTCAAAGTTTTTTTGAAAATGGGGTGCAAAGTCCAATATCATCCAAAAAGTGGGGTGCAAAGTCAAATTCCCCCTAATTTTAATCTTTATATTATAGAAGTATCATATTTTGTAACTTTTTCATTTCTCTAGATTTTCCCGCCTTCCGTACTCTCCCTAGCATTTTCAGGGTTCCAAGCGGACCATTATTGGGTATACAACGAATTTCATTCTAAATATATGTGCAGGTTATGCAAAGATGCTCTATGTATGCACTTGAGCACACAGCTAAGAGTAAACTGTACAGCATGCTTACTAGGGGGGAATGGTCAAAAGACCATTGGACCTCGTTGAATTCTTGTTTTATGGGATCTTTATCGTTCACATTCAGTAACTGCAATGAACAAAGGAAAAGAAAGTTTGAGCAGCTTACACATAGAATCAACAGTGTCTAATTTAGTGTCATTGAAAAAGAAAGTGATAATTGATGTGAAAAAAGACACAAGTCTATCAATTACCCTTCAATAGTGTTTTCAATTTGAAGCACCTAATTTTGCAATTGATTTAGTTAACTTGACCAAGAGTCCAAGAGATAAGAAGAATTTCACATATATTTATTTCTCAATGTAAAAAATAAGCTATACCACACCTTAGTAAAGGTTCTAAATTCTAAAAGATGCAATGTGGGATGATGCTGCAAGGAACAAGCATCAAGCTTTTAAGCCTAGGCCAGGCATTTTACATTATTGTTTTATTTGATCAATACAAACGCATTAATAACATTAATATGTACCTAACAAAAATTATACAAACTTCAACATATTTATCAGTTTTTCAATATAAAAAATTGCTAATATTCAAGGCTAAGAATTCAAAGTAATAGACCATTAATTAAGAAGCAATTAATGAGAAATTAATGCTTATAGCTTTCTTAAATTATTTTCTTCAAATTATCATACCATTTCTTGAAACTTGAGAATGAAGAACATCGATTGTTCTTTATGATGTGGATATGGGTACAAATAAGAAATACCTTAGTTGATTATATCACACAAAATTACCACAAGTAAAAATATATATTATTGGATGCACATTCAAAACTAGAAAAAACCTAAATTATTGGATGCACTTTTTTCGTACGAAGAGTATGAAAAAAAGTGAACAAACTTGTAGGCTGACCAATAATTCTCCTACTTCTCTGGCAACGGCTTCACTAAACAGTTGTTCCACCAAAGATATAGTGAACTGAAAGGATGTAGCGGGACCACGGCTTGTTGTTAACTCACTGGACACTTGGATATTAGTCTTTACAGCATAGAAGGTAGGAAGCTTGTCCATAAATGCAGGATGACAAGTAACCTAACCACACAAAGCTACATACAATGTCAATTATTAGCAATATGAGAATATCTGCAGTGCAGCTAGGAGAAGGGCAACGAGACCAACCTTTTTCCTCCTAAGAAGACCCCAAGGCAAAAGAGTGACTGCAGGAGCAGCACATATGGCACCGTATAGCCGTTTCTCTTCAGCATGTTTGATCATTATATTCTTGAGAACTTCACTGTCTCTGAAACGCACAGAACCTGGCATTCCACCCTGGACCATTTAATGTCAAATCATTTTCAATCTGCAATGAGAGCTAATGTAGTGCTTTTATTAGAGAGATGCAGTGATTACGGCCATACAGGTAACATTTGGTAGTCATTGGGCATGTTTGGCAAACAGCATTTCTGAGAGCTTATAACTAATATTATAACTAATATGGTTCTGTTATGAATTGGACAAGCTGAAAAGCTAATTTCAGTTGTCTGGTTAACAACTTACTAAAAGAGTTTATTAGGTCCAAAAAGGTGTTTTACAAAACCCTCTGCCATCAGCATTTGGAAGAACATATGAGTTACAACTATATCTCTCACATAAAGCTAGCCTTTTAACAGTTTTTTTCCTACAAACTATTTACCTGATTTCTTAGGCAATATGCTAGTCAAAACAGCTAATACAATGAGCTTTTCAAGACATCTAATACACACAATGAACAGCTAACAGCTACTCGACTAGCCAAAAAAATCCATAATGGGCATATTCTTCTAATTATGTGAGAAAGGTGCAAGTATTCTTACTTCTTTTTACAGAAATAGTTGTTAATGGTTGATACTTGATACCTGATGCAAATCTTAGTGCCTTCAGCTAAATAACCCCTACCAAAAAACCCCAATTAGCCAGGGGAAGAAGGTCAAGAACTTACTGGAAGTGCAATGAGATCAAACACTTCATTGGAACAGTCGGATATTAGGGTGTCAGCAACAAGCCTAGTGCCTCCAGAAGCTTCAACTTCCAATTGCGGCTCCACTGATGCCAAAGTCACCCCTGCACCAGCCCGCCGCAGTACATCCACCATTATTACAGCTTCCATTTCTTCTGTCCCAAACCCAATTGGCACCAGCACCTACCATTTCCAAGAACACGCGTCTAAGTACCCCCAATGTTCTTTATTATTAATAAAAAGAACAGCGACAGTTGTGATGGAAACCTGGAAAAGATTGAACCTTTTTCTTAGGAATGGAAGATTCCTTGGTTGGAGTTTCAGTTTGCTCCATAGTGGGGGTAGGAGTTTGGGTTTTCTTTGATTTTGATGAAGAGCGTCCTGAAGTAGGTACCTTTCGCTGCTCAGCGGCAGCGGATATGAAAGGTAGAGACTGAGAGTGTGAAATGAAGACGGGGAAGAAGAATTTGGGAGTACGAAGTGAGGGTGAAGCTGGTGATATCCAGTTCTTCATTCTTGAGACCCCTTCTGCTCCTCCTCCTCCGGAATTGAAGAATAGGTACTGGTTACTACTGGGTTTAACTTTTAAGAGGTGGGTTTATTTTTTTAAATTGAAGGATTATATAATATAATTGAAATGAATACTTACGGAGTATAAAAGATAGGTGTGCGGGTTGGGGTGAAACCCGGTACGGAAAGCTCAACTGCTCTGTACAACTTGTGATAAGATAAAATTTCTTTCTTTAGCTTAGCTTAACAGAAGAGTGGAGTATTGGGAAGAAGGTGAGAGCAACTGAGGAAAGGACTGGAGGCAACCATTTTGGCAAAATGCTGGGAATTTTAACTCGGGGAGCATCAAAATCAGCTTCAAGAAGTTCGTTCCCATGGCGGAAAACAATTCCTGTGATCAATCCCCCCCGCCGAAACTTCTGCATAAGCGTCCTACCCGATACGCTAGACCGCAGCTCAGAGTTATTCTCCACAAATTCTAAGGCCATGAACGATCTCGTCTCTCAGCTCAACTCTCATATCCGGAAGGTCCTCCTTTTCCTCTCTTTCTGTAGGGACTACATAAGTTGAAATCTTCCGTTTTTTTTTTCCGGCGAACTGAATATCAATGGCCTGGAAAATGGATAGGTGACGGAAGGTGGAGGACCTGGAGCCGTCAACAGAAACCGTAGCAGGAATAAGCTTCTTCCAAGGGAGAGAATAGATCGTCTTCTCGACCCTGGTTCTTCTTTCCTAGAGCTTTCTCCAGTTAATAATGTCATCTCTACTTCAATTTTTTATTTTATACCTCCTGCATTATGTAAGCGCTAGGTAAAATATAAACAATTGGTACTGAAGTCAAAAGATGACAGATAAGTAAAGCTGTTATCCTTTTTGGTGAATCAGTCTTTATGTGAATGAATGCAGCTTGCAGGTCACGAATTGTATGAAGAAAAATTACCTTCTGGTGGAATAATTACTGGAATAGGGCCTGTGAATGGAAGGCTTTGTATGTTCGTTGCAAATGACCCTACTGTCAAAGGTGGGACTTATTTCCCCATCACTGTAAAGAAACATCTTAGAGCACAAGAAATTGCTGCACAATGCAAACTACCCTGTCTGTATCTTGTTGACAGTGGAGGGGCTTTCCTTCCTAAACAAGCTGAGGTTTTTCCGGACAAGGAGAATTTTGGCAGAATATTTTACAACCAGGCAGTGATGTCATCTGAAGGTATTCCTCAGATTGCATTGGTTTTAGGCTCTTGTACAGCTGGTGGAGCTTATATACCTGCAATGGCTGATGAAAGTGTTATGGTCAAAGGAAATGGTACCATATTTCTTGCTGGACCGCCTCTTGTTAAGGTCTGTTCAGTGCACTTTAACAAACAAAAATGAAAAAAAAAACAATTAAATAAAAAAGCTGTGCGAGGTACGCAATATTAAAAAAATTACTGCTGGAGTTTTTTTTTAATCTTTATGTAAATACCCTACATCTAAAAGGAGAGCTTTGATACAGGCTGCAACTGGAGAAATAGTTTCAGCCGAAGACCTTGGCGGTGCAAATGTTCATTGTAAAACCTCTGGTGTTTCCGACTACTTTGCCCAAGGTATATATATCCACCTACAATTAATATGTGGTCCATATTCTTAGTGAATATTTAGATCGCTGAAAAATATAGGGAAAAAGAGTAAAGTGCTAATTAAAGCTATTTTATTAGGTTTGGCTTTACATTGAAAAGAAAAGAAACATAATGTGATTAGTAATCTGTATGTTTTTTTAATTGGACATATGTTTTGATTATTTAGTGTGTGTATTATAGAAATAAGAAATGAGTTAGAACAAATATCTAAAAATATGTTGTATCAAGTATGAGTCTGTTTTAAATTTCCCTCCCAAATTTTCTTCCATTCCAACTTTTTTCCCTCTATTTCTCTTCTTATTTTCTTTCCCTTGTATTTTCCATGTTCCAAACATAGCCTTAAGCCTAGATGAAAAGTTGGGCCTGTTTAATGTTGAATCAATTATAAACATAATTTCTTATTGTTTCTCATGAGTCATGGCAATGACTTTATGCCTATCTTTTTTAGATGAACTCCATGCTCTTGTAATTGGGAGGAACATTGTCAAGAATTTGCACATGGCGGGAGGCCAACAAAAAGGCCAAACTCCAACAACAACCCCAACTGATTTCAAAGAGCCATTGTATGATGTGCAAGAACTTCGTTCCATTGCACCAACAAACCTCAAACAGTCTTTTGACACCCGATCAGCAATCGCTCGCATAGTTGATGGAAGTGAATTCGATGAATTCAAAAAGCTATACGGCACTGTCAGGCCTTTCTAATGATTTCCTACATTTTCTTTAAAAAACATATATTTCAATCTTTTTGTTCCCGATGACTTGCATTCTGAATAGTTTTCTCCCTCTATACAGACACTTGTAACAGGTTTTGGGCGAATTTATGGGAATCCGGTCGGAATCATTGGAAACAATGGGATATTGTTTAGTGAGTCTGCTTTAAAAGGAGCACATTTTATTGAACTGTGCTGTCAGCGTAACATTCCTTTGATCTTTCTTCAGAATATTACGGGATTTATGGTGAGCCTCTTTTATTTTATGTACCTCTCAAATTGAGGATTTCAATTGATCTACTCTCTTGAAAAGAAAATGTGGGCAACTTACAGTCTCTGAGTAAAAAGAGAGTAATTTCCTGACTCTGAAGTTCCCGTATGGCAACGGCTTTTAAAAAACTAAAAGTTCTTTTGAGACGCTAAAACAGTGTTTCCTATTGTGAAATGCCGTTTTTTATTCAGAGAGCACGTTGCCGATGTAACTGGAAGTGCTTTTGGAAAGCACATTTTTTATTGCTTTTAACTTTCCCGACGCTTTTCCATCATTTTGGCTTGGGAATATGTTGGAATAAAGCAAAATGATTCACTAAACTATTTACGCTTCTTTGTTATGAAGCAGCAGTCAGTCCATGCAATTTTCGACGCGATTTTCACAATGGATCATCTGGGAACAGTCTCTCCCTGCTTTAGTGCAGGGGTAAGACTGCGCACATCCAACCCCCCTTATCCCACCGTAGGTGGGAGCGTTTGCGGCACTGGGGTAATGATGATGATGATGAACTTTCCCGACACTATTATATAACCCAACAAATGTCACCTTGCGGATCACCTTTGAAAAATATGCCTAAAAACAAATCCAGTTGATATCTACTCACTTTTACCAAACAGACTTTTAAGAATGCTCTCTGAAAATGATAATTTTTGCAAACTGAAATCCATGCACTCAAAGACTGCAAGTGGATTAGACAAACTCATATATACATACAAAATACAATATGGTTCACGCGGAGTTTGGTAGCTTCTGCTACGGCACAATCCCATTATATACTATGCTATACTGATGACATCACACCTTTGCTCGGGAAATAATTTTTTGTCTGTACTCTTCTAACATGTATTTCCCGCCTGTGATTTTTTCCCTCTTCTTCTTTTACCTATAGTTCACGTATAGCTTGGTTAGGTTGGCTCTAATTCATCACTAGTTTCTTTGTGTTAGCCTCTTCTACTTTAATTTTCACCAAAAATTAAGTGATGGTGCTAATAAACCTGGTCAGGTTGGCTCTAAATCAGAAGCAAATGGTATAGCAAAAGCTGGAGCCAAAATGGTGATGGCAGTTTCATGTGCAAAGGTAGTGTTTACTTTTCAGATAGTTCTATTTTCCTTGATCTAGAATTTTCGATTGTCAGTTTCCTCTCTGAAGCTTTCTCTTACTATGTCAATGATGACTTCAGTTCAACTATTGTCTTTCCGTTTAGTTGATCATGAATTTCCGATTGTCAATGCTCCTCTGTGAAGCTTTCTCTTACTATGTCAATGATGGCTTCAGTTCAACTATTAGCTTTCTATTTAGTTGATCTTATAAAAGAAATTACACCTCAGAGGTCATAATATCTTTAATTATATGCAACTTTTTGTTACAACAGGTCCCTAAAATAACGGTGGTTGTTGGGGGAAGCTTCGGGGCTGGAAATTATGCAATGTGTGGTCGTGCCTACAGTCCGGATTTTATGTTTCTATGGCCAAATGCTAGAATATCAGTCATGGGAGGTGCTCAGGTACCTCTTCAATATCAATATCCTTCATCAGCTATAACCTTCAGAATATTGACTACTTCTGGTCACCATTTCATGTCCAAATCTCTCTCCCATTACGGACTTATTTCAGTGACTGGAGCTTATTTAAACAAATCAGCATTGAATAATATTAAAATACATATAGGGTATCAAACCAAAGCATACCAGTTTTGACTAGACGAGTTTTAAACAAACCAAATCAGTTCAGATCAGACCGGAAAATTCTCGTCCCGCGGTTTTTAAGTTGTTTTGACTTGGGGTCTATAATGTGTGGTGGGAAAGTAGATAACAGAGAAAAAATGAATGTGTGTTGTAAATATGAAGTACATGTTTATATATAGTGTTATGTGTTAATGTATTTTCCATCCTTTGCAATGGAGCCAAAGATTCATTATTTTTTGGCTTGAGAATATAATGGAATAAAGCAAAATGGCTCACTAAACTGTCTGCGATTCTTTGTTATGAAGCAGCGGTCAGTCCATGCAATTTTGGACATGATTTTCACTATGGGTCATCCGGAAACAGTCTCTCTGTGCTTTAGTACTGGGGTAAGACTGCGTACATCTGACCCCAGCCTTTGCGGCATTGGGGTAAATAAAAATGAAATAATTATGTGTTAATGTAGTATAGTAGATATGTCTTTTAAGTGTTCACAGCCTTTTTCCATCTCAACTACGGTCATGTTTGGAAATTAGTTTGCACTGGTAATCAGCAGTTTGAAATTTGCTATTTGGATTTGTGTCATGTTGACTGACTTTTTATTAAAGATGTTTGTGATAGTAATCAGTTGTTTACATGTGTCAAATAACATAAAATGCCAGGGGCAGAAGCGTAATAATATATGAAGCACATGTTAAAGGGAAACAAGTTGATACTCCGTAATATAAAGCACTCTCAAAAAGCTATCT